TGGTTGTGGTGGTGGTGGTGGTGGTGGTGCACACCTTTAATCCCAGCACAAAAACAGAGGCAAGTGGATCTCTAAGTTCAAGCCCAACCTGGTCTATTGAACAAGTTTAAGGACAGTCAAGGCTATCCAGAGAAAACTTGTCTCAAAAAACAAAACAAAAAATTAATTTTAAAAAGAGAAAGAAGTAAGAAATAGATGTATGTCAAGTGCTAATAACAGCTATCCAACAATGATAAGATCATGGATAAGTTCTGTTTTTCTGATTGTATTTTCTTTTAATTTCAGATATTATATGTTATATGTAAGATATATTAATTGGCTGGGATAAAGAACAAAAATTAAACAATATACTCTACAAAATCAACAAAAGATTACTTACTTTCCTTATGTCATCTAAACAATTAATTTCAGGTGACATTCCTCCATGTACACAGAGAAACTGCTGGTTTAAGAGAGCAGCAAGAGGAAGACAGTCGAATGTGTTCATACACGCTTCATACACCATTTCCGAATACTTAATCCGACCTACCGAGAGAGGACAAAGTCAAAGGACCAACAGTGTCATAAGATCTGGAGTCAGAAGGTGAAGCCAGTTAGGAAGCCACTGGTTTCAGGCGAGTCTAAAGATCCGTCTGTGAGAAGATGTCTTTTAAGAGATGAAGACCAGGGCTATCAGAACTCCCTTCCCTTTCTAAAGACAAGTATGCCCTTCAATTAACTTTCTAGCTCTGTTGCCCTGGAAACCTGGAAAGGCAGCTGGCTGCCAGCTGTCAATTATTAGGCAACATTATATTACCTGGGGGGAAGGCTATGGCATTGGGCTCCTCTGAGGGTCCTTCTAGGATCCTCAATTCTGCCATTAAAGCTTTACAAAGGATGCTGGCATTTTGATCCATGGAGCGTCTAACCCATGTGGAACTGTCTCCACAGTATTGAAAACTATTTCTGTATCGGAAACCTTTCTGCTCATTTTGTTCTATTCTTTTAAAAAGATTTATTACTTTCATATGTATGAATGTTGTGCCTATGTGCATGCACAATTATGCACTGAGTACATGCCAATGCCTCTGGAGGCCAGAGGAGGAAACTAGATCCCCCAGAACTGGAGTTAAGGAGAGCTGTGAGCTGCCATGTGGGTGCTGGGAACCGAACCTAGGTCTTCTGCAAGAACAGCTCCTGGCCGCCGAATCATTTCTCCAGCTCCTTTTTCTGCTCATTACTTTAAAGATGTATGAGTACATTACTATTATTCTAGTTTATGTAAAAATGTTTGGATTACTGAACTGTTTTGTATTTTTAAGATGTATTATTTTTTTTTTGTTTTGAGACAGGGTTAAAGGCATGCACCAGCACTGCATGGCCAGGCATGTGAATCTTAGTCTGGCCAGAGTGTGACCAAACAGCTGGAAAGACTGGAGGTCCCTAAAGGAAAAGGAAAAACAATGGACATTTGAAGTGAGAAGCCTTCCAATCGTGAAAATTCAGGATTTTTCTTTGTGGCCGATACTGTGTGATTAGGGTTTGTGCTTAAGGGAATCTGTGGGTTCTATTCACACTATCATTATGGCAGGTAAAACCTTTTATTTTATAGCTCAGAGTTTGTAAGAACCATATTTTGTACATTCTTTTCCTTTTCTTTCAAGAACTTTTTTTAATATAAGAGAACATATCTTTTTTTTAAAGATTTTATTTATTTATTTATTATGTATACAACACTCTGCTTCCATGTATATCTGCACACCAGAAGAGGGCACCAGATCTCATAATGGATGGTTGTGAGCCACCATGTGGTTGCCGGGAATTGAACTCAGGACCTCTGGAAGAGCAGTCAGTGCTCTTAACCTCTGAGCCATCTCTCCAACCCCTTTCAAGAACTTTTTTTTTTCTTTTTTCTTTCTTTCTTTCTTTCTTTTTTTTTTTTTCTTTGCTAAATGGAGACAGGGTTTCTCTCCCAAGGGGATTAGACTTGTGACAGTATCTATGTTGCTATATTTTCTGATTTTCTCTAATGAATGCATATCTATAGATGTATAGTGACTATACATATGTATAGTAACCATCATATACATCAGTGAGCTAGGCACCTGACCCAGCACGGTGGTCAAATAAATGATCTGTAACCCAACTCTTAGTTTGGACCTCAGATCTGTTAGCTTTTAACTTGGAAACTTGGGCAAATGTCTTCATTTCATGTGCTTTGGATGACAATCCTTGCCAAGTCATGAGGCTGTGAGGACTGAAGTACAGTCAGATGTGTGTAAAGTGTGTCCATGCAGTGGCTGTAACTATGAGGACTGGAGAGCACTCAGATGTGTGTCACGTGTGTTCACACAGTGGTGTAACTGTGAGTGTTGACCTGCTTCACAGAATCCCTGTGTTCAGGTAAAAGCCAAGGAAGGCAGCAGGAGAGGCAGTGGCTCAGCTGTTAAGAGCACTTGATGCCCTGCCATAAAACCCGAGTTCAGGCTGGGCAGGGTGGCACACGCCTTTAGTTCCAGCACTTGGGAGGCAGAGGCAGGTGGATCTCTGTGAGTTCCAGGCCAGCCTGGTCTACAGAGCAAGTTCCAGGGCATCTAGGACTGTTACATGGAGAAACCTTGTCTCGAAAAAGAAAAAAACAAAAAACAAAACAAAAAAAAGAAAACCACAGTTCAATTCAATTCTCAATACAGACAGCTCACAACTGTCTGTAACTCCAGGTTAATGAAAACAGCTCTGGGGTCAGCCGCCATTTTAAAAAAATTAACAGGATGGAACAAAATTTTATATATAATTAAAATAAAAGAAGGTCTCATAGCCCAATTTGACCTTAATTCACCTCCTAAGTGCTGGGATTACAGGCATGCACTACCCATGGCCAGCAATAAAACATCATTTTAAAAGAATTCTAGGAAAAGTTCTGAGGGTTAGAATCATTTATAAGAACCACAACCTGTCTAGCCATCGATCATATATTTTCGTAATTTTTGCATTCACTGAAGATTCTCCCTCTGTCTCTGTCTTTCCTCTCTCTGTATACTCCCATCCCCAACTGAATTTTCTAGCCTAGCTGAAAAATCCTGAGGGTAAGGTAAAATTTTGTGGTTCTTATAAGAGCAGCTTAGTAATTAAAAAGAAAATGAACTAACCAGGCAAATCTGCTGCTCTAAATAATGCTGCAAAGAACAGTACTTGTTCTTTAAAAATCTGTTATAATAGGACTGTTTTTATTAGGAAATTGCAAGAGTTTCTGGAACTTGTCAATAAGCTAAGAAAAAACAGTTCATGAAACAACAAATTAATCCACTTGAGAATTCTGGACCCAGAACTATGAGATGAGATCAACATGAGGCTTCTTGCTTTCTAAGTACATAACAATAAGACGACGACACGTAAAAAATTAACTGTTAGCCAGGCATGGTAACACATGCCTGTGATTCTCAGGAGGATGAGGCAGGAGGCTCAGTGAGAGTTTGAAGCCAGCAGGGACTACACAGCAAACTCAAGGCAAGCCTGGGCAGCCTAACAAGCCTCTGTCTTAAAAACATCTCTCCCAACTGAGCAGTGCTGGTACATACCTTTAATCCTAGCACTCGGAAGGCAGAGACAGGTGAAATTCTGTGAGTTCAATGTCAGCCTGGTCTACAGAATGAGTAACAGGACAAGCAGGGCTAAAGCCTGGCCTGCCTCAAAACAAAATAAAATTAGATCTCCCAGTATAAATAAGAATGAATATGATGTGGGCCTGGAGACACAGGTCTGTAATCCCAGAGAGCTAGGAGATTAAATACAAGGCCAACCTGGGGAATTTAAGACTGTCTCAAAGCAAAAAAGTAAAAATAGGGGACACACACACACACACACACACACACACACACACACACACACACACACACACACACACAATGTCACACATGTGGAGGTCCAAGGACAGCTCTCAAGGAATCGTTTCTCGGCTTCCTGGGCACTAAACTCAAGTCACCAGGCTCAGGAGCTCAACCATCTCACTGGCCCAGCAGTCATTCTTAAACAAGAGCATACAGCAGAGTTACTAGGAGTGCTTCAAAAACCTACTCAGGAGCCAGTGAGGTGGCTTAGGGGACACAGCACTTGCTTCTGAGTCAACACGCAGTAGAAGGGAGAGAATAGACTCAAGAGCCTCCCCACACATGCCAGGACATGCTCATCGCCATATATATACACAAAATAAAAATGTAAGTGTTAAAAAATATTTATTTACAGTGCTGAGGATTGAACAGCCTTTCAGTGCTTCACCACAGAACTATTCCCCGGCCTTCAACACAAAGACAAAAATAACAACACAAGCCTCTGAGAGCCAGAAGTGGTGGCATACATCTACTGGAGAGACTAGAGGATCTATGAAAGTTTGAGGACAGCCTGTCTGTATAGGGAGTTTAAGGCAAGAACTACGTAGCAAGATCACACCTTTAAGAAAACAAAACAAGGGGCTGGAGAGATGGCTCAGTGGTTAAGAGGATTAACTGCTCTTCCAGAGGTCCTGAGTTTAATTCCCAGCAACCACATGGTGGCCCACAGTCATCTAAAATGAGATATGGTGCCTTCTGGTGTACATACAAACATGCAGGCAGAACACTGTATACATAATAAATAAATCTTTAAAGAAAACAAAACAAATAAAAAGCCCTTCAAATACCTGGTCCCCAATCGAGTAATTTTAAAATTAGCAGCTTCAAAAAAAATTACAAGAATAGTACATAATAATGGCAAAAAGATAATTCAAATAGTACTAGAGAGTAAAATAAGACCTTCTGACCCAGCCAGAACCACAGAAGTAAACCCTGATGCAGATTTCTTCTGCACATAGTGTACATGGTCATCAAATGGTTTCTCTCAGCTAACAGCCTGTGAGCATCTCTCCAGATAGCACATACAGATCCCTTAATATTTAAACAGTGGCCTAGCATTGCTTTAAAAATAGTTTGGGGGCCAGAAAGATGACTCAGCAGGTAAAGTACTTGTTCTATAAGCCTGAGGACCTGAGTTTAATCCTGGGAACCTACATAAAGGTAGAAGAAAAGACTGGACTCCAAAAACATACTCTTCTGACAGCCGTACTCCCACCCCCCACCCCCATCTAATACTAACACAATGTATTTAACTTTTATTGACAATTAATTATTTTTTATTGTTATAATCAACACTGAAATGAACATCCTCAAAAAGCAAGTATATGTTGGGTGGTGGTAGCACACGCCTTTAATCCCAGCACTTGGGAGGCAGAGGCAGGCAGACCTCTGTGAATCTGAGGCTAGCCTGGTCTAGAGTTGTGAAACAGCTAAGGCTACATAGAGAAACCCTATCTTGAACCCCCATCCCACTAAAGAAGCAAATATCTTACTGGTTTTCATCCATCCAACTGTGTTGGGCAAACTGAAACATTACTCCAATATCTTCCACTTGGTATAATGAGTCTGTGGAAACTCTGCCTATGATGAGCCTTGAACTGTTACCCTTCACTAGATGGCAAACGGGAGATTCTCCTGGATGGACATGGCCTAAGCACACGGACCTTTAAAGAGCAGAGGTTTCCTCCAAAAGTCACTCAGGCTGGTCCAGAAGAAAGACAACATCTACACTAGGAACTACCTATGGGAACAGTATGTCAAGAACCTGGAAGCAGTCTCTAAAAACCAAGAGTGACCCCAAGTTGGGAGCTAGCTGGAAAATAAAGAGCAAGGGCTCCAAATAACTAGTGACCTCACAGGAAGACTCAATCCTCACAATAGCATGACCTCAGCTGAGCAAAACTTAGTAGAATCCAGACTTCTGACCCTGCTAAATGTAGCATGATACATGTGTGAGCTCACTCAACTCCTGACAGTGCTTTAGCAGCAGTATATGGTCTTCATGATACATTTTGACTAGTCAAAATACTGAGGGAATGTGTACCTGCAATCACCACAAATACTGCAAAATTGTTATCTAAATACTTACTTGGCACCATTCAAAAAACTACCAAGAGTAAATCTAATTTGAAAACCTTCCTGGTCATTATCTGATGGTGTGTTTATTTCAGTAAGTTTCTAGGGCTGGAATGATCTGAAGATCCTTTATTTGCAACAGACGTTAGTGTCTGAGGGAATTTTTGCCTTGTTTGTGTTTTGTGTTTTGAGAGAGGGTTTCATGTAACCCAAACTGACCTTGAATTCACCAGGTAGCCAAGGCTGGCCTTGACTTCCTAATCCTCATCTCTACCTCACAAGTGTTGGGATTACAGACATGACCACTAAACCTGGCTTACTATTTCTTTTAATAACTCTGACCTTTCCTTTCAAGCTCTCTTGGGAGGAAGGCTGCCATTATAACCACCCCTATGGCCAATACAGGACACTACTAACAACAAGACTCAATATGACACATGGATACCAATCTATCAGTAAAGTGGTGTGTGGGCACTGAATAAACAGTGTAGGAGTACCTAAGTTTTATTCTTCATTTTCTTCTAGGCAGGGTCTCACTCTATAGCCCAAGCTGGCTTCAAACTTACGGTGGTCCTTCTGTTTCAGCCTCCCAAGTGTGGAGTTTCAGGCAAGAGCCACCAAGCCTGGCTTAATTTTTTTTTTTTTTGAAGGTATGGTCTTAACTAAGCATGGCAGCACATGAGATAACTAAACATTCTCTAAAGATGTATACTTACATTCCTGTTTGAAGGTGAAGTACTCTGTAAGATGCCTGCATTCATGATTTCCTCGAAGCAGAAACAATGTTTTAGGATAGTTAATCTTTAAACTCCATAAATACAGCACACACTAGGAGACACAATTAAAGGATAATGTTCTTCATGACCATGACAATACATAAAGACAATTTAACTAAATCAAAATGATGTGCTATATGGTATATCTCACTGTAAGCCCCCAAATGGAAAAATGTAATCTTCTAGCTTTTATGTTTACCCTTAAATTTGGTGAAATAATTAGCCTTCATAAAAATCTCTCAAGTATCTGGACATTGAGAACTCTCTGGGCAAAGCTACCCATATATATACTAGTCCTAAAATTTGTATCATTATATTATAATGGAAAAACACTAGGACCAGGAACAAGGCAAACATATTAACTATCTGTTGCTATTCAATGTTATAATAGAGGTGTTAATCAATATAATTAGACAAATGAAATCAAGTAAAGGCTTCAGAATGGGTAAAAGAAAAATTAAAAAATTAATTATGTGTAGAAGATATAATTGTTTAACTGAAAAAACAACCCCAGAAAAAACAATGATAAACACAGCCTAAATAGAAGAATTTAAAACAGTGTATAAAATTGAATACATATATGAACTAGCTTTTATGTAACAGTATGAAATAGGGTACCAAGGTATAAAAATACATTTAGAACTGCAACAAAAAGGCTAGGAGTACAGCTCAGTTGGTAGAGTGTCTGCTTAGCATTCACAAGGTTCTGCATTCTAACCCCAGCACCCATACATAAAACATAATGTCCCACACCCATAATACTAGCACTTGAGAGGTGAAAGCAGAAGAATCTGTAAGGAAACAGTAGGTCAACCTCGGCTACACAGTAAGTTGAAGCAGTGTAGGCTATGGGACACATTGTCTCAAAAAAAAAACAAAAACAAAAACAAAAACACAATGTTCTGAGCCACATATGGTAGCATAGGCCTGTCATCTCTGTACTCAGGCAAAAGGATAATGAATTCAATGCTAGGTTAGACTACATAAGGAGTTCTAGACCAGCCTGGTGACATAATAAAACCTCAGCTCATTCAAAATAAAATAAAATAAAGAACCTGTGCCCTACCATATGCTACAATATGCCAGTAATTTTTCACAGTCCAGAAACAAATCCAAGTTCATATGAACATCTGTACACAATAAAGGTGGCATCTCAAATCACCATGTGAATCCCAGTGCTGAGTAAGCTAAAGCAGGAGGACTGCCTTGAATTGGAGGCTAGCCTGTGCTACAGTATAAAATCTTTTCTCATAAAAATGGAAAACATATAATAAACATCTCTTGGGTCAGACACCATTAAAAAAAAAAAGTTAGCGCTAATGTTACATAGCACCTAACAAGTGATCTAAGAATTGAAAAGAAATTCTAGAAGGATGCATGGACAGAGAAATTTTAATGACAAGAGATCCACAGGCAAGAAAGGATAGATGTATTTCACTATGTAAAAAGGAAGGTACGCCGGGGCTGAAGAGATGACGGTAAGAGCCCTCATTGTTCTTCCAGAGGACCTGGGCTCAGTTCCCAGGACCCATATGGTGATTCACAACCATCTGTAACTCCAGTTATAGGTTTTCTGATGCCCTCTTTTGACCTCTGGGGTACCAGGCGTGTACATGGTGCACACATATACATGCTGGTCAACACTAATATACATAAAATAAATAGATCCAAAAAGAAAAGAAAAGAAACTGCATGGTAAAGAAAATGCAGCAAATACTGACAAAACTACATTATTTACTTAACTTTTTTTTTACTTAACTTTTTTTTACTTAACTCTTGACCCATTTTTAAGTCGTGTATTTCCACTGATATGAAAATACATACATATGCTACAACACTGTCAAAGCAAAATATTGGCAATAACTTGTACCATGAAAAATAAAAGCCCAGAAACTGATAATGGGGTTCAAGCTTCAAGCTGAAGATCAGAAAAGCAAAGCAGTCGGCCAATAGCTCTTACCTCTACCTCAGGCTGAAAACACTGTCCTCTCCTCAGTGTGGCTGGAGAATAAATCTCTCCACCAAGCCTCAGACTGCAATCCTAGACTGCTTGTTGCCTCTTCCTTTTATACCTCTCAAATCCTGGGATTTAAAGGCATGCAGTCCCAAAACACTAACTTCAGCAATGTACAGAACAAAATGGAAAATAAGCTTGTGCCACTTTCAGCCCAGCAACAAGAGTTCAATTCTTTGGACTCCTCCAAGTTGTCCTTTGAACTCTATAGGCATGCACCCTCTAGCCCTGCCCTCAGGTGTTAGAAGAGATACCAGAGGGCTCCTAAACCACACACACACACACACACACACACACACACACACACACACACACACACGGACATAACTACAAAGCTATTTGACATTCTCAAAACAAAAAGGGGTGGGGGGGGAGACACAGATATTTGGTGATGGTCTCAGCACTGTCACAGAGAACCAGGTCCTCTCCTGTTACTCACCATTCTGAGGCACCAAAGGTCTGCTTTCACCCTTAGTCCCACCTCACAGTCCTCAGTCAAGACACACCCATACTGGAAATGACAGGGTGGAATAGATGTCCAAAAGCTTTAACCTGCACCCACAGCACAGAGAAGGCAAACCCAAAGGAAGCAGGAGTTCAAAGTCACCTTGGCTTCACAATAAGTTCAAGGCCAGTCTGGGCTTTCCGTGATTCTGCATCAAACAAAGTAAAACAAACCTCAAAGCTTTAACTTTTCCAGAGCCTTTTCATATAGAAAGATGTGTGTAAGACAGACAAGCAAATGGAATGAAGAATAGTGCCAGAAAGCTGTCTATATGATAGTGGGCAAAAGGGGCCATGCTTGTCCTTAGGCTAACCACAGGTGTCAGGAAATGGATTTGCCTTAACAAGTTCAGACCAATCAGAAGTTGTTCTCTGGCCTGGGATAAAAGTCTTCCTTTCTTGAGTCTGAAATTCCCCTTGCAATCCCAGTCCTACTTTCTGGAACAAAACAGGGGTTTTGCTACTAAGGAACGAGGAGGAGAAGGTGCTAAGCAACCTCTATAAGCCTAGTTATCCAACACTAAAAATAAATTATGGTGTTTATGCCATTAATTATATGCCTTTGTAGAAAAAAAATGACAAAAAAGCCTTTAATATGATGTTGAATGGAAAAAGACTACAAAAGGAATACCCATGGTAGTCCTAATTTTCTTTTTAAAAATGCAAGGAGCTGGAAAGACAGGTCAGCAGTTAAGAGCACTTCCTTTTCTTGCAGAAAACCAAGATCCAGTTCCCAGCCTCCTTCCCCATGGTGGATTACAGCCAACTCTAACTCTAGTCCCAGGGGTCTGACTCCCTCTTCTGGTTTCTGTGGGCATTTTTACACACGTGGTACACAGACATACATGCAGGTAAAATAACCATCCTCATAAAATAAATCTAAGAAGAAGGACTTACAATATTAAAAATGCATATAAATATAAGATAAAAGAGTATTGTTGTTGTGGGGCAAGGGACTAGCTCAGTAGTACAGTAGATAGCCATGGTGTGTGACGGACTGGATTTCCTCTCCAGCTCCAGAAGAAAAATAAAAAATAAAAAGACAGTGGCTAGAGAGACATTCAGCAGGTCGGAGTGCATGCTGCTTTTGGATGACCTGAGTTCACTATCCAACTCCCTCATCTTGCACCTCAAAACTGCCTGTAACTCGAGCTCCAAGGAAATCGGAAACCCTATTCTACCCCACAGGCACTTGTACACAAATGGCATAATCTATCTCTTCTCCTCCCCCCCCATTAAATTTTTTAAAATAAAAACATTTTACATTATGTGTTCATGTGCATCAGAGAATGGTATGTGCATATGAGGTGTCAGAATTCTTGGAGTTGCAGTTAATAGGCAGTTGTGAGTACCTGCTGTGGGTGCTGGGAACCCAGGTCTTCTGCAAGAGCAGTACAAGCTCTTAACCACTAAGTCATTTTCCCAGCCCCTAAAATGAAAATTGTAAAGATAATGTCCAAAAGATAAAAATCCACATGGTAGTTTATGCTTATACTCCCTGCACATGGGAGGTGGAGACAGGCACATCAGGAGACCAAGGTTAGCCTTAGCATAACAAATTTGGGCTTTGGCTATCAAAGATGCTATCTCAAAAAACTGTGAGGGGGCAGCTTAGCAGTTAAGAGCATTTATTGCTCTTGTAGAGGATTTGGTTTAGTTTCTATGACCCACATATGGAGGTTCACATCCTCCTATAACACCAGTTCCCGGGATCTGATGCAATCTTCCGACCTCCTTGGGCACAAATACATTCAGGCAAATATTTATACACGTAAAATAAAAGTAAATAAATTCTTAAAAACAAAAAGAATTAAATCACCACTGTACCTAAAACTTTCAATTCATTTAAGTTATTTAAAAAAAAAGTCAAGTTTTAAAAAACCATCAAGTAAAGTCAAATACAAACTAAAATTTATTAATATTCATTTACTTAACAAACTGGGTGCCTATTATATATCAGGAGACTAGGCTAGCTTTTTTTTTTTTTTTCAAGACAGGGTTTCTCTGTGTAGCTTTGGAGCCAATCCTGGCACTCGCTCTGGAGACCAGGCTGGCCTCGAACTCACAGAGATCCGCCTGCCTCTGCCTCCTGAGTGCTGGGATTAAAGGGGTGCGCCACCAACACCCGGCTAGGCTAGCTCTTTAAGACTTATCTTTACAAAATCAGAAATGAAAAGGAGGACATAGCAACAGATACTGGGGAAATCCAGAGAATTATCAGGTCATACTTTGAAAATCTGTACCCCACAAAATTGGAAATTTTAATTTAAAGGAAATGTAAATTTTCTGGATAGATATCACTTATCAAAATTAAGTCAAGAACAGATAAGCAAAATGAAATAGACCTATAACCCCTAACGAAATAGATGCAGTCATCAAAAGTCCCCCAACTAAAAGAAAGAAAGAAAGAAAGAAAGAAAGAAAGAAAGAAAGAAAGAAAGAAAGAAAGAAAGAAAGAAAAGAAAGAAATTAAAGAAGATACCAGAAAATAGACAAATCTCCCATAATCTTGGATAGGTAGGATAAACAGTAAAAATGGCAATCTTACCAAAAGCAATCTACAGATTCAATGCAATCTTTATCAAAATTGTAGCACAATTCTTCACAGACCTTGAAAGGACAATACTCAACTTTATATGGAAAAACAAAAGACCTAGGATAGCCAAAACACCCCTGTACAATAAAAGAACTTCAGGAGGCATCACCATCCCTGACTTCAAGCTCTACTATAGAGCTATAGTCCTGAAAATAGCTTGGTGTTGGCAGATAAACAGACAGGTAGACCAATGGAATCAAAAGACCCTGAAATTAATCCACATGCCTATGAACACATGATCTTTGACAAAGAAGCTAAAACTATACAATGGAAAAAAGACAGCATCCCAACAAATGGTGCTGCATAAGTGGATGTGGACATGTAGAAGACTGCAGATAGAGCTGTATCTATCGCTATGAATAAAACTTAAGTCCAAATGCATCAAAGACCTCAACATAAATCAAGCCACACTGAATCTGTTGGAAGGGAAAATGAGAGGTAGCCTTGAACAAATTGGCACAAGAGACCACTTCCTGAACATAATGCCAGTAGCACAGACACTGAGATTGACAATTAATAAATGGGACCTCCTGAAACTGAGAAGCTTCTGTAAGGCAAAAGACAGTCAAGAAGACAAAACAGCAGCCCACAAAATGGGAAAAGATTTTTACCAACCTCACATCAGACAGAGGGCTGACTTCCAAAGTATACAAAGAACTCAAGAAGCTAGTCACCAAAACAACAAATAATTCAATTAAAAAGTGGGGTACAGAACTAAACTGAGAATTCTCAATAGAGGAATCTAAAATGGCTGAAAGACACTTAAGAAATTGCTCAACATCCTTAGCCATCAGGGAAATGTAAATCAAAACAACTCTGAGATATCAGATAGCTAAAATCAAAAACACAAATGACAGTTTATGCTGGAGAGGATATGGAGAAAGGGGAACACTTCTCCATTGCTGGTGGGAGTGAACACTTGTACAGCCACTTTGGAAATCAGTATGGCAGCTTCTCCAGAAAATGGGAACCAGTCTACCTCAAGATCCAGCAATTCCACTCTTAGGTATATACCCAAAGGATGCACATTCATACAACAAGGACATCTGTTCAACTATGTTCATAGCAGCATTATTTGTAATATCCAGAATCTGGAAGCAACCTAGATGCCCCTCAACCAAAGAATGGATATAGAAAATGTGGTACATTTACACAATGGAGTACTACTCAGTGGAAAAAAACAAATGAAATCTTGAAATTCACAGGCAAATGGATAGAACTAAAAGAAACCATCCTAAGTGAGGTAACCCAGTGTCAGAAAGACAAACATGGTATGCACTCACTCATACATGGATATTGGACACAGAGAAAAGGATTACCAGCCTATAATCCACACCTCCAGAGAAGCTAGGAAACAAGGAGGACAGTAAGAGAGGCACACACAGTCCCCCAGGGAAGCAGAAAGGGACAAGAACCCCTGAGCAAATGGAGAGCACCGGGGAAGAGGGGAGGGAGGTAGGAGAAAGAAGAGGGGAGGAGAGGAGGGGGAGGAGAGCATGAGGAATCGGGAAGACTGAGTGGGGAGAGGAAGAGAGCAAGGAAAGAGGCACATAATACAGGGAGCCACTACAGGTTAAAGAGAAAGCTGGCTCTAGGGAATTGTACAGAGATCCACAAGGATGACACAGTACTCAAGTGTTTGAATTACATCCTAAATTAATTTTATGTCTACACACAAAAACATATATTTGTTTTAAATTCTACTCATGTTCTCATACTTCGTTCGTTCCCTCCTTCCTTTCTTTTTTCGAGACAGGGTTTCTCTGTAGCTTTGGAGTCTGCCCTGGAATTGGCTCCGTAGACCAGGCTGGCCTCAAACTCATGGAGATCCACCTGTCTCTGCCTCCCGAGTGCTGGGATTAAAGGTGTGCGCCACCACTGCCCAGATGCCATCACTTATTTCTTAAAATATATAAAGGAACTGTCAGTTTTATTAGCTCCTCTTCACGTTTTGTCTTCCAACAAACGTAATAGTGTGCAACAGAACCAGAAATCCCGAATTCCACATTCTCACAGGAAGTCAACCTTAGAGTCAGCTGCAGTCTTACAGTTAAGGTTTGCTAATCCAGACACTTTTTAGAATGAAAAGCCATGCATGTCCCTTCTATATAGCCCAGGCAGCATCTTCAAAAGAGAAAAACTTAGCAGACATTTATTTTCAAAATTAGCTTAATACAGCCTTCTATAGGACAGGTTTTCTATGGGTTAAAAAAGGATTACTTTTTTAAAAAAATAATAAAACATGTCTCTATTAGTTAAATTCCAAATGTAATACAGTGGATAAATTCTACCAGTGTTCAGATCTCCATCTCTTCCATGACGGAATGGAGAGCAGATCTTATCAGACGATGGCCTGGAGGAGCCAGGTTAATTTTACCTCGATACTGAAGTAGCCTCTGTCCACATAGTCACCCAGAAAGAGGTAGCGGGTATTACTGGGTGGTCCCCCAACTTCAAACAACTTCATCAGGTCAAAGAATTGTCCATGAATATCACCACACACTGGGAAAGAAAGACATGGGGTGAAAAGTATACATTAGAAGGAAAACGACAATAAAGCAACAGGGAACACATTTAACTTTTAATGTAATCACTTTTGCTTTGGACTGGACTTCTGTATAATTAGTTACCCAATCAGTACTAAATACCCCTACTAGAAATATTATTCAGTTAACAGTGAGCTTTAAAAAAAGACTTATTTTTAAGTGTGTGCATGTGTGTGCATATGTGTCTGTCTCCGTGTGTGGGTATGTACATGAGTATAGATGTCCACAGAGGCCAGAGGTGTGGTTTTCTCCCTACAGCTGGAGTTGCAATGGTTGTGAACCACATAACACGAACACTTGGAACGAAAATCCGGTCCTCTGCAAGAGTAGTACATGATCTTAAGAACCAAGCTTGAGCCCCTATTGTTGTTTTTTAAGGAATAAAATCATTCTAACAAATCCCTAGATTGCCTCAAAATTCCTAGAAATATTTATCACACTCACTTTAGTTGGCTTTTTGCAATCATTTTTCAAAATTAGTACAAATCTAAGGGCCACCATGCAAATGCATTTCCTACCTGTGATGGGAGCATCCACTTCTATCATGGTCATCTCTTGTCTTAGGATGGCAGCCCCATCATTGATTATCTTTAAGGCTACCTCCTCTTCCACCCGGCCTTCTTTGACCAAATGGTTTTTCAATACATCCATTTTAGGTTTCCCATTCTCAAATACTTCCGTCAAAGTTAGCCGTTGGGTTGGAGGAAAGGGGACAGCTAAAAAGACAAAAAATTAATGTAAAATGCTTAAAGGCACAGATAACAATTACAAACATACTTTTTAAAATAAACCAAACCTAATAAGCAATCATAACTTCATAGTATTAAAATAATATGAAAAAAAATTCTAGGACACCGTGTATCAGAATTGGTAATTCTAATTTTAAAAGTCACCAGTTCAAGTCATATCCCAAGTCTGCACATTCATATCATTTACACACACGCAAACTGAATGAATGAATGCAACAAATATATATGTTTTAATGAAGCAGATGACTGAAGATGTAGCTCAGTTGATGGAGTACTTCCCTTGAACTGACAAAGTCCTGGGTTCAATCCCCAGTATCACATAAAACAGGCTTGGTGGCTCTCACTTGTAAACCCATCACCTGGAATGTAGAGGCCATTTAGTACCCATTTTCAATGTTTGACCTAACATAACTTTCAACTATCACATAAAACCTTTGGGCTGCATTAATTTATTAGGCTGCTGGCTTCTACTGACCCAAAGCTAAGAATTTCATTCAGATAACATCCAGGACCTACAACATTGCTGTAAGGTCCTAACATGATGCCTTGACTTTTGACTGTTTTCTTTTGCAACTATAAAAAGTCCACATAACTCAGGGCAGTGGTGGCACATGTTTTTAATCCCAGTACTCAGGAGGCAGAGTAAGGCGAATCTCTTTGAGTTCAAGGCCAGTCTGGTCTACAGAACAGGTTCCAGGACAGCCTCCAAAGCTGCAGAGAAACCCTGTCTCAAACCCTACTCCCAAAAGGTAATATACTGGGGCTTGATAGATGTCTCAGTGGTTATGAGCACTGGCTGTTCTTCCAGAAGACCTGGGTTCAGTTCCCAGCACCCATATGGCAGCTTACTAAGTGTCTGAAACTCACTTCCAGGGAATCAGATACCTTCACACCAAATACAGTTAAATAAATCATAATTATAATTATTATTATTACTATTTGGTTTTTTGAGACAGGGTTTCCCTGTAGCTTTGGAGTCTGTCCTGGAACTTTATGTGTAGACCAGGCTGGCCTTGAACTCAGAGATCCATTCACCTGCCTCTGCCTCCAGAGTGCTAGGATTAAATGCATGTGCCACCACCACCCAGCCATTTTTTTTTTTAAAGTGTCTTAGATGCCTGTGTCTTTGTTCTTGTATTTTACAGAAAGGTTAGGCAAATTTAAGGTTAATGAATTTTAAATTAGCAGTTTTTAGATAAGACATACACTCCCAGAGTAATTAATATGTCTATGTGCAGAGCTGAGCAGGAATCTGAGCTGAAATTTAAGAAAACAAAAGACATGCAAAATGAAGTCAGAGAAGCCAACACATTGTTCTGGCTTTAGTTACCAAGTGTGCACCTACAAGTGAAGGGTTGGTGCTTTTTAGCAAAGTCAGCCTTTTACGTCCCTATATAACCATAAAAGCAGTTAAGATTCAAAAAGCTAAACACTGATACAAGAGACTTGGTGAAGCATGTATGAGGCCCTGGAGTTTAAGTTTCTACATTTAAAAAGTTAAAAAGAGCTGGGTGGTGGTGGCACATGTCTTTAATCCCAGCACTCGGGAGGCAGAGGCAGGTGAATCTCTCTGTTAGTTCGAGACCAGCCTGGTCTACAAGAGCTAGTTCAGGACAGCCTCCAAAGCCACAGAGAAACCCTGTCTCAAAAAACAAAAACAAAAAAAGTTAAAAAGAACCAGAGTCAGGGACATCCTTGGTTTGTTGTTGCTTCTGAAATAGCAGTTCTCTCTCTGTAGCCAGGCCAGCCTAAAACTCTAGACAATCCTGTTTGAATCTCCCAAGAGTTTGAGATTCTAGGCCTGGCTCACCACACCCTGCTAGTCTCCTTGCATATCTTCCCATGAAATCTTTGATTTGTTACCCTTTGATGGGTATTTAGTAGCCAAATATATCAATTATCTAATGCAACCTAACAAAATGTTCAGGAACACAGTGACTTAAAACAATCCCTTACTGTCTCTCATAGCTATGGACTGTGAACTCAGAAGACACAGCAGGAATGCCTGTATGTCTCAGCCAGACATTCGTCGGCCCAAGGCTAGAATCATCTGAATGCTGCTCACTCAGTCATCCGGTTGCCTGTCAGCTGAGACTCCCTTCAGGTTTTTGATGAGAATACCTGCTTGTGGCCTTTCATGTGACTGAGTTCCAAGGACAAACATTCAGAAAGAGCAAGCCAGAAAGAAGCTGTGTGCTTCATACCCTAGACTCATCACACCTTTCCCTGCTCAGACTGTCCCAGCATTCTCAAGCCCACCCATGCTCAAGGGGAAGAGAAGTAGATTCCACCCACAGATGGAGAGTGGTACAATTAATTCTGTGAAAGCCGAGGCCAGGACCAGTGCTAAGGCCATTTACTGGAAGTAAAAGGACTGGGGCTGTGGTTCAGTGGTAGATGAGGCCCTGGGTTCAATCCCCAGTACTGCCTAACCCTACTCCCAAAGGACAGAAAACTAATACAGACCCTTGGCTAAACCCTTGAGATAAAAAAACAAACAGAAAAAAAAAAAAACTATAGCCTTTCAAATACTTACTTTTTTGGATTTGGTTTTGTTTATTTGTTTGGTATTTGTTAGTTTTTTGGGTAGGGGGCTCATGATATTATAGTCTTGGATGGCCTGAATCTCAATACACAGACAAGGCTAGCTTCAACCTTGCTTTGATTCTCTCCTTTGCCTGCACAGTGCAGGGATTACCAGCATGCCCATCTTACAAATACAGTGTTCTGTTTGTTACAAGTGGTGGAGCTAGACTGATGCACAGTCCTGAAGCATGCTGAGTATTAAGTATGCTCTACCATGAGCAGCACCCCCAGCCACACACATACACAAGAAACTAACACTGGCTGCCTTTTTAAATTAAAAGAGAAACCGCAACTTGTACTACAAGATGACTCATGAAACAGACAGTGAGCACCCCAAACCAAAATGTGCATCACAGATTATCAAGACCCAAGGCACAGCCTTCAGATCCATGTCTCAAGATAAGACAAATTAAGTCAAAAGCAATTGCAGGCACTAGATTCAACCTAGCACTGGCGCTTCTAGCAACTCTCTAGTTTAAACTCACTAGTTCTTGCCCAGATTGCAAACTTCTACCTAAAACCTGATGCCTGGTACTTACTACTCTAGCAGCAGTATGTGATGAGTGCCTGCTGCTACCTGCCTCCCTTTTCCAGAGAATCAGTTTCCTCTAGATCTCTCTACTTGTTGAAACATGTGAAATAAATCTTACCCCCTCCCCATTTTTTAAGAGTTTGAGAGAAAAACAACAGGGCAAGCAAACTGTCAAGCCTCTTTTGCTGTCTCCTCCCTGTGGTTCATGATTCTAGGTTGTCAAGGCCCACACGCCTTCCTTTATCGTTGGTACTACCAAGACCTTTACCCTTGCCCATCACCAAATACAGAATAGTTACTCGGCTACTTGGAAAGATAAACAATGCAAATCAATTTTTTTTTAAATGGTGGACTAGTGAGACGGCTCAGCACGTAAAGGTGCTTGATGTCCATGTCTGGTGAGCTGAGACCTAGCTCAGGAACACAGTTAAAGGTGGTAGAAGAGAGCTGCCTCCACACACATAACCCCACACACTTCATGCTCACACACATAAGTAATACTATTTTTGTTATTTTTAAAATTACTTAGCTATCAAAGGAAGACTTCCCTAAACAAAACAAGCAGATAAACAAATAAAAAGGAACATCCAACTGATTATGGGGTATATGGAACATTATTTCAAACTAAATACAAATTCTTGTCTGAGTTTCTGTCTGGGACACCCAATGTGTCACCTCCAGAACCTTAAATGCCACTGTGCTGCCTCTGCCAACCAGATGACAGAACGAGTCATTATCCAGGAAATGGGCCAGTGCTTGAGGTCAAAACATCTATCATGAAAGGCTTGATAAGCATTTGCAACCTATCAAGAAAGGGCACAGATCTTAATGGCTCACTTCCCTCAAGTGGTGAATGCCCTGGTTTGACTAAAAAATGATCAGAAGTAGAGACAGAAAGAAAACAGAAGCCATAGCTGCTTGAAATGCTAAGACTTGCATAAGAGACAAACTGAACTAAAGCAACCCCACTCACTGTACAGTGCAGACCACCTAAGCCAAGCACTGTTCTTCAGCATCGGAACCCTAGACCTCTCCACCTTCCTGAGGCTGGGACCCTTTAATACAGGTCCTCATGCTGTGCTGACCCCCAACCATAAAATTATTTCGTTGCTACTTCATAACTGCAGTTTTGCTACTGTTATGAATCATAATGTAAATACCTGTTATGCAGATATCTGCTATGTGACCCCTGTGAAAGCGCTGTGACCCACAGGTTGAAAACCACTGCCCTAGACACTCATGATTCTATTCCACAAACTCATCTGCAACTTTGAGGGAGCTCTTGAAGACTAAAGGCAAAGCCACTCAAATTAGATTTTAACCACCCCCTGACCAGACTACTAACTTTACTTCAACTCCTTTATAGCTTTCTTTTACAGACTTTCTGACTCACATTACTTTCTACAATAAGCTAAATAAATAAAGCTTGTTTTTCATCACAATTGTGTTCCTGGTGTTCTGCAGTGGTGAGCTTTACACTTCTAAGGAAGCAACTGGTGAGAGGGATAAGAAGAATTTCACTAAATACCTCTTAAAACTATATAAGATATAGTTATTAATAAGTCAAAAATAAATGACTTTAGACTTGTATTTTGTTCCATTTTAAGTGAATCAATCAACAGTAATACGACTAATATTCAATCTAGCCGGAGTACTGCTGGATGTCGGAAGATTGGAAATTCACCGTTTCTATAAGCCTAGAAAATTATCAAGTAGTTCAAGGTGGTACTGAACTTGAGATTCTTATTGAAAGCAAACTACCGGTCTGGTGAGATGGTTCGGTACCTTTCAAGCACAATGTCTCAAGTCCAATTCTTATAACCCACATAGAAAAGATTGGCACACATAA